CGACGCTCGGGTCCCTCCGGGACAGGGACCTCGGTGCTGGGAAGTTAGGGGAAGAGGAAGGAGGCTCATCTTGCGGTCGGCTCCACATCGCCATCTAGTGGCCTTTCTGGATCCCCAAGGACAGGCTGGGGTCACCCACTGTCTCGGTTTGAAGGCTTCTGGAGACAGAGACTCGTGGTTTTAAATTTTATTCTCTAAGTGGCGGGTTCACGGGGGTCCAGGCTTTCGGGATGACCTGCTGGAGGAGCAGTGCGCTGGGAGAAAAAGAAACGGAGGCGTTTGACTGGGAGTCTCAGGCCTTGTTCATCCACCACAGGTGTCTGGACCAGTAGAATTGATGTGCTGATACACGCAGACCTGCAGTCCCGGCTTTCTTGAGACCGAGACAGGAGGATCGCCACCCTGTCTCAGCACACGTGCACGCAAAGGTGTCCAAAGTATGATATTCAAACCTCCTCCAGTGTAGAAAATGGCTATTGCTCGGTGGTGTGCTTTGCATGTATGAGGTCCATCATCAAAGCTGGTAGGAGGCTGGGGAGGCAGCTCAGCGGGTAAGCGCTCACTGCTGCTTTTCCAGGGGGACGAAGTTCTGTTCCCAGTTTCCACTTCGGACAGCTCACAAGTGTGTGAAACTGTAACAGCAGCAGATCCCACTGTCTCTCCCCCGGCCTCTGAGAGTGCTGAGTTCACGCGCACATTCCTCAGTTCCCACCCACTCCCAAAACCCTCCAGAATTACAAACACAAAAAAATCTATTTTGGGGCTCAGCGTTTAAGAGCAATGGCTGGTCTTTCAGAGGTCCTGAGTACGAGTCCCAGCAACAACATGGTGGCTCACAACCGTCTCTAGAGGGATCTGATGCCATCTTCCGGCATAAAGGTGTACATGCAGATAGAGCACTCATATACATAAAATAAATTTATCTTTAAAAAACTATTTTAAAAGCCACCCTGAGCTGGGCAGTGGTGTTGTACACATTTAATCTCAGCACTTGGGAGGCAGAGGCAGGCGGATCTCTGTGAGTTCGAGGCCAGCCTGGTCTACAAAGCAAGTTTCAGGACAGCCAGGACTGTTACAGAGAAACCCTGTCACAGAAAGAAAAAAAAAAAAATACAAGGAAAAAGTCACCCTGAAAATGAATGTCCTGTCCTCTCACACTCAGTGACCTCTCCTTGAGCACATCCAGTGACAAGGTCAACATGAGTGAGGATTTATAGCGTGGACTCCACATCCGCACCTCTGGTTGTCAACTTTCCCTGTAGGAGCTGTGTGCACAGTGCATCTCAACGCTTGGAGCACAAATCTTCCAGGTTTCTTCCACGACTTGCCCCGATCTCTAGGACATGGTCATAGACTTGTACCAGGAAGGGAGCTGTATTAATTCTTATCTGCCCCACCCTTAGAGTAAATGCTTGAAACAGGAAGCATTTCAGACTTTTGTTTTTTGGTTGTTTTTTTTTTTTTTTTTTAATTCTTAGGGTATTTGCATAGAATACAGGTTGGGCTTCACTAATCCGAAGAGATGAAACTATCTGTTTCAGACTACGGAAGCCAATTGTATCCACTTACACTGTTGATGGAAACTAAGGCATATCTAGGAAGGAGAGAGAATAGATTGCTTCCCCACCACCCACCCCAAGACAGGGTTTCTCTCTGTAGCGTTGACTGTCCTGGGACTCACCCTGAAGACTAGGCTGGTCTTAAACTCAGAAATCCTGCCTGCCTCTGCCTCTCGAGTGCTGGGATTAAAGGCGTGCTCCACCAATGCCTGATTGGAGTTCTACTTACTTTTAATGCAGGGGCATCTACAAGAACATTGAGTATTCTTAGCCATCAAGCAATCTCTCGAACTGTTTTCTCTCTGCCCATTGGGTCCCTGCAGCTGCTATGAAATATCCACTCCTAGGCTTAATATCAGTTACAATTGTTTGGCTGATGGCTCAGGCTTCTTATTGCCTAGCTCTCTCTTAATTATTAACCCATTTCTATTAAACTGTGTATCACCAGATGGCCTTGGCTTACCGAGGTGATGCCCTGGGATCTTGTTTCCCTGGTGACTACATGGTCTCTCATCACTCTGTCTTCCTTCTCCTTGCCTCTTTGTTCAAAATTTCCATCTAACTAAATTCTGTCTGTCCATTTGCCAAAACAACTTTATTCATTAACCAATTAAAACAACACACATAGTCATGACATACAAAGGACATCCCCATGTCTCCAGAGGAGGCGTATCAGAAATCTGACCCATCCATTTGCCAATAAACAATGAGGACAACTCTGGAAAAACAATGTCCTTGCTTGCAGATGGAAATCAAGTTGACACATGTCATTTCTAAGTTCCACTAAGGAATGTTAAGGAGGCAGGAAATTGAGCACGAGTGACTAGGTATTTCAGATAGCAGTCAGGGAAGGCCACTTTGAAGAGGTAACGTTTACACAGTGACTGGAGGGTTGGACATGCTGGCATATGTCTTTAATCCCAGCACCCAGGAGGCATGTGGATCTCTTAAGTTCGAGACAAGCTAGGACTTTATGGAAAGATCTTTTTCTCAAACAAACCCCAAATAAACTAGGGAGTGTGTCATGTGTCATCTAGAGAGAGACCATTTGTGTGGAGGGTTGAACACTGCAAAGGTCCCACATGAGTGTGTATGTCATATCTGAGGAAAGTAAGCCAGTGTAGATGGAATAAAGAACTTTGGGGGTGGGACTATAGATTAGAAGTAGAGCATTTTCCTAGCATGAACAAGGCTCTAAGTTCAATTCCCAGGACTCTGTTTCCAAAAGGGGCAGGGAATTTGGATGCATTTTGTTTGAATAGGATAGGTAGTGGGACAAAAGTGCCATAGGTTCTAAAAGAGTGTTTGGTATACCAACCAAAAACAAAGGGGGGAGGCCAGGGCCCCAAAAATGGAGCTTATACACATAAAATTAAAATAAACATATGTTTTGAAAAAGGAACTTCTGCCTTAATGTTGGTAACTTAGAAAGCCTGAGTCGGTCACTCAAGGGAAATTGTTGAAGGGCAGGGGGGTGATTCGGAATTAGAAGTCAGTCGGCATTGGGAAGGTGAAGCCGAGCACAGTGTCAGTGGGTGGGTGGAGCTCAGTGATTTGCCAGAGGATGGTTTTTTTTTTTTCCGTTTTTAATTGCAGCTGCCTTTTAGCTAGGTTTTCCTATTCAGCACCTGCCACTCCACCGCTGCTACCAGCAGTAGCTAGGCCGCAAGAGCCAAAGCCTGAGGGAACAGAATTTCCAGAATTCCCTCTGGCACAGACTCTTTCAAATCTACTAAGAAAGCTTATTTAAATCTCTGTCCTGCTAAAGAACTCAAGATGCAAAGGTTGAGGTAGAAGAATCCTGCCTCCTGGACAGGCTGAATCCCAGCAGCTGCCTAACTCACCTCCCCAGTCTCCCAAGAAGTCCATGGGCTTGTGCTTGTCCCTCCTTATAAACCCTTCTCCACCTGGCTGCTCCCTACAACTTCCTGTCAGTGAGTTGATGACCCAGCCTCCTGACTGCAGGTGAATTTTATTTAATCAAACACATCTTTGCATCATTAAACCAAAGTTACAGAGCATAAGCAAAAGTAACACACCTTAAAAACAATATTCTATCTACAACGTACACCCATTGCTCTAGCAACGCCACTTTTTAGGGTGAGAGTCTTGTTTCATGGATCTGTCACCAGCTTTCCTCTGGCCATTTAAAAAAAATATTTTCTTGATGGGAGGCCATGGCACACGCCTTTAATCATAGCACTCAGGAGGCAGAGGCAGGTGGATCTCTGTGAGTTTGAAGCCAGCCTGGTCTACAAAGTGAGTTCCAGGACAGCCAAGGCTACACAAACTCTGACTCAAAAAGAAAAAAAAATCTTTATTTTTTAAAATTATAATTCCATCTTTCCCTATTTCCTTTTCTCTATCCAATCCTTCCCATGTACTCTCTTGCTCCCTATCAAATTCATGGTCTCTTTTTCTTTGTTGTACACACACACACACACACACACACACACACACACACACACACACACACACGTCCTAAGTACAATCTTAGTGTTACTTGCATATGTATGGTTGAGGCTTTTTGAACTTTCCCCTTCCATATTAGTGTGGCCGCTGGTATTGTTCAGGTCAGGCAGCCATGCTGGTGAGACTTCAGGGGTGTCTGATTATTTTTTAAATTTACTCCCATAGAGCTCAAAGGGAGATGAGCATTTTCTTCCCAACCAGGCTGTGGTTTTCCCCAAGGATCCTATCACTTCCACATCACCAAGGTGTGGTCGCTGTTGGTCAGACTTGAAGCCTCCTCTCATGGCCATTTTGCTTTCTAAGAAGAGATGTCATGATTCAGCTGTTCTTTGTAATAGAAGGGGGATTCTGGTGAGTGGTTTTCCTTTTCCTTCTTCTTTTGCATTTTTGAGACAGTGTTTCTCTGTGTAGCCCTAGCTGTCCTGGAACTTGCTCTGTAGACCAGGGTGGCCTCCAACTCACAGAGATCCACCTGCTTCTGCCTCCCAAGTGCTGGGATTAAAGGTCCACACCATCACTGCCCTTTTTCTTTCCCTTTTTAAGAAAAATATTTATTTTTAATTATGTGTTTCTCTGTCTGTGGGTACGTGCAAGGGAATGAAAAGGCCAAAAGAGGGAGCTGGAGTTACAGGCAGTTAGGAGCAGCTCAACATGGGTGCTGGGACCCAGACTCGGATCTCTCTCCAACGTCATAAATGGTTTTCTTTGCTTCCCAGCAGGGGTCAGCCCATAGTCCTCCAGCGTCTTCTCTCCTTGGTGAGACTAATTGAGACACATACAGTTGTCCTTTCCCTTTCTTCATGGGATGGCATAGTGCAGGTCTGTCTCCCAAGCTGGAGATGACCAATGCTATCTTGAAGTCAGAATAGCTTGATAGGGAACACTCAGGTCTGTGAGCATCCCTCACAGAAGGGGAGCACCAGGGCTTGAGCATCCCTCACAGAAGGGGAGCGAGGGATAGAAAGTCTTCCCATCTGCCTGTGCACCATCCTGCCCCAGCTGCTCATGGTCTATGAATGGGGTAGAAGGTTGACTGGGGTTGGGACCCCACTGATGAAGTTTCATGAACCATCACCCATGCTGGGGTGGGCTTCTCAGGTGATGCAGGTGCCTCAGTGTTGTGGAATATTACTTTACCCATGTAAAGGGTTACATTTGTTTATGCTGCATTTATTTATGTAAAGATTGTTACATTTGTTTTACCTCGCCTTCCTAAGGTACCTGATTGGTCTAATAAAAAGCTGAATAACCAATGGCTAGGCAGTAGAGGGGTAGGCGGGGTTGGCAGATAGAGAAAATAAATAGGAGGAAGAATTCAGGCTCAAAAGGAAGAGAGAATGAGAGAGAGGGAGATGCCTGGGGCCAGACAGCCAGCTGCCAGACAGCCAGACATGGAGTAGTCCTACAGAATGAAAAAAGACCCCAGAAAAAATGTAGATGAAGAGAAACAGGTTAAATTAAGTGTAAGAGATAGCAAGAAATGAGCCTAAGGCCAAACATTCATCACTAATATTAAGTCCCTGTGTCATGATTTGGGAGTTCGTTGGTGGTCAAAAAGAAAAGCTTGCTATACCTGAGTCACCCAATAAACTCGTTTACCAGGCTATACTGGGTGGAATAATTTCTTTGATCTGTCTGTGAATAGATGTTTCTGTATATTGATCTAGGAAAACACAGCAGAAGGCCTTTGGGTGTCCCCTCTCCCAGATGTATGGTGCTTTCAGAGCAGAGCTTGTTCGGCTCAGACCGGAGAAGAGACGGGCTGAGGCAAGGGCCCTGGTGTCCAGCTGACTGTAGACTGGCTTTTCTACCTCACCCACTGACTACTTTGCACTTAATTTTCCCAGGCACAGGGTTGGGCAAGGCTTCTGATTTGCATGGAAGCTAGGCCTGGCCTGGTCGGACCTGGGTGGGAACAAAAGAAGAGAAACTAGCTCATGTTTTATGAATATTAACTCATATCAGGTGGTTTTCGTTTCCCAGTTGCTCCTTCCTATACCTGAAAAGATATTTATAGAGGCCCCAACTTCTGGCAATTCGCAAGTGCAAAGGAAAGTCTAGGTACTGAAAAGCTGTCTAGACAGCCAGTGGTGTGAGGGGGATGTACCCAGTGCTACAAGAACAAGGCCAGCTGGTCACTGGCAGGTCCCACATCCCTGCCCACAAGGAGGCATCATTGTGTAGGAAGCACCTGGGAAAGTGAAACACAGAGCTGCTTTTGTTCTGGCTTGGCAGTGCTGGAGGTGGAAGCCAGGCAGCTTTTGTTCTGGCTTGGCAGTGCTGGAGGTGGAAGCCAGGCAGCTAGGTCAGCACTGCCTCTGAGCCACACTGCCATCCCCAGGACCCCAGCTGTGCCTTGTCCTGCCTGCCTGCCTTACCATGATGCACAGGGCAAGCAGGGAGCTCCTTCAATCACATTGCGGTGACTGTGGTAGATGGAAGCTGCGGCCAGGGAACAGGACATACTGCAGTTTGGAGTCAGCCTGACAGCCTGTGGCCGGAAACACATGATGGCCACTGACGGCCGTCTACCTGTCCAGACTCATGGCCTCCTTGAATTGTCAGGTCATAAGGCACATCTGAGTTCTGGATGGCGGCTACAGCTGCTTGGAGTTACCTGCCCCATGGTCCTGCCAGGCTTTCTGAAGGTTATGAAACTGCCTAAGCCCCTGACACAGCTCCTCCTTGGTGGTGGTGAGTGTGGAGCCTCTGGCTGGTAGCTGGGGGGGTGTCGGGTGGATAAGGCTTCATTGGTGGTAAGTTCAGATTCATTTTACTTGTTTATCCAAGGCCCAAGCAAGCCTTGGATATCCCAATAACATAGTGCCTTGACACAAACACAAAAGAAAACCAGAAGAATAGGAAATGTGTCGGTACTAACATTTATTACATCATAAAAAGTCCATTGGTGTTATTTTCCATATGTACATGCTCCTATGGGCAGACCCCCCATCAAGTCCTACCTGCCCACCCTCCACGGTGCCAAGCAACTCCAAACTGACCAACTATTTAATGAAGGGAGAATTGGAGGCGGTGGCTCAGGGCTGATGGGACTATATGGAGAGAGGAACAAAGTGCAGAGTGGCTGGGCTGGGCTCTTAAGGCCTAACCTGGCAGGGGGCACGCGGCAGGCACTGCAGGGTTGGCACAGCAGGGTTGGCTCCATGCCTCCCCAGGGCCGCCAGGCTGAAGGCAGAGGCTACAGGTTATGCCTGTGTCCACTCTCGGCTTGGAAGCTCAGGAATGGGCAGCAGTGGAAGAGTCTGAGCCTGAAGTGGATCCCAGCAGGGGCTATGTAAGTTCTCATTCCCCCATCAAGTAGTAGCAACAGCAGCTTGCTTTGGGCCTGGAAGGCCTGGTGTGAAGTAAGGGTCTCATCTCCGAGTGACCCGCCTTAGTTGACTTCAGAGGTGGGAATAGGGTCTGTAGGACGGGGAGTGGACAAGAGAGGCACCGGAGAGGTGGCCTCGATGAGTGCAGGGTTGAGGATAATGGGCAGAGCCATGGGTGGCACGCCCACCTGCAGCGGGGAAGTCAGGGGCTGCAGGATTAGTGGGGGCTGGGCCAATGGGGGAGGTCCCTCTGGGGAAGGACTCAGTCTACTGGGGCTGGAGGCCACTGGTGATCCCGGAGAGCTGCTGCTGGTGGCTCGGGTACCCTCAGGCTTCTCTGAGTCTGCAAGGAAGCAGATGTGGTTCAGTCAGACTTTCTGGTTGGCATGAGACAAGTCTCAAGCTTCCCAGTGGTCTTCTCAAACCTCTGTCCCTCCCAACTCCTCTCTCAGGTGAAATTGTTAGAAATCTCCTTCTAAAACTCATATCATATAAAACTACATTAAAACATAAAAAAATAAAACTTGAGTTTTATAAAACTAAAAATTTTTAGTTTTTTATATTGACAGATACATTTATCTGTCAATATAAAAAAACCCACAACTCGTTTCAGGACAGTTACCTTGTCTCTACCTTTAACTCCTTCAGTGTCCTCCTCAATCAGGTCAGCTGTGGTTTGGATGCTACCTGCATCCCTGGCAGGCCTTTGTATATTGACACAGCCCTCTCCTCCCAGCCTAGAACCCTTAAGCAGGCACCTCATCATGGGGTAGCTGGTCCTGCTGTTTCCCATAGGACGAGCAGGCAAACAGGCTTCTCACCCTAGACCCATCACAGTGGTAACCCTAAACTGCACTGGGGCATCTTCGTAGGTTTTCTCCAACTGACCATCTCTGAGGAACTCACCACAGGCCCCCACTTCTGAGGGTATCTCTGGGGAAGGTAGATGGCCGGGGTCACCAGCAGCAGGGGTCAGGTGGGTGGAGGCCAGAGGCTTTTGGCTGTGAGGTTCCGTGGGCATGGGGTCTGGAGTAGAGGATCCAGATGTCAACTTTCAGAGCTTTCTTTCCTGCAGGATTCTGGCTAGCCCCCCACCCGCCCCCAACAACACCCACCAAGATAGAGTCTCAGATAACCAAGGCTAGCTTCCTATGACCCAAAGATGGTCTAACTCTGGATTCTCCTGCCTTCAGTTCCTAAGTACTGGGGACTGACTACAGGCATGTACTACCATGACCAGTGGGAAGCCATTAATCTGTCCACCCTCCAGTGAACAGAAAATTCAAGGATCCCTTGTAAGACCCTACCCTGGATGACAGTCTGCTTGAAGAGCTCGTCACGTAAGTGTGGCAAAAAGCAATCAATGCGCTCCCAGGTGATCTCCCAGAGGGCAGAGGGGCTGCCTCCTCTCGCATCTGCACTGTGGAAGATCTCGGCCGTGTCCATCACCAGGAGCATGTTTTTCAGGGACTCAGGGATTGCTTCTGACTGAGGCAGTAGTGGAAGCATGAACAGAGTGGTAAGTGTGAGGCAGCCAGGAAGGGCAAACAGCAAGTCGTCTCTCTCAGCACGTAGGAGAGGACGTGGTCAGAGTAGATAGAACATACCAGCAAATCACTGGAGCCTGCATGCATGTACTTGTCCATGAAGTCCAGGATGGTGAGCCACAGGGCAGCAAAGGTGGACAGCGACAGCAGAGGGGACAGGTGCTGCAGGAAGACCTAGAGCCCACCGGCCAGCCTCCTTTAGCCAAGGGCATTGGAGGTGCCTTCTGTGGCCCTCTCCAAAGCTGAGGGATGCTGGCCCCAACTTTTAAGTATTCAGTTAGAGGTCTCTCTGAAACCCAGATCCCCTAAGTCCCTGGACAGCCTCTGAGCACTTACATGTCATCTTTGAGCCCTAAGAGAAGACCTGGCTTCTCTGTGGGAAAAGCAGGGTGGTGAGCAGTACCTTTGAGAGCAGCGTGGAAGCCCTCATCCGGGTCTCCTCCATCCCACCCACATCTGCAGGGCTGATATTTTCTAACAGCTTGGTCAGTAGAGGAAACAGCACCTGGTAGGTAAACATCAATGTCACCTTTGCCGGGTCAATTGGACAACCCTGCCCCCAGGAAGCTGGGCCTGGGTGGGTGGGCACAGAACAGCTGAGTGATCTGATGCCGGTGGATAGCAGGAGCTCTTTAGGTTACCTGGCTCTTTCTGCCTTACAATTTGAACTTCCTCTTAAGACCAGTAAGAAGTCCTACCTTGTTAAAGCAGGACTCCCATTCCAGGGCATCTAGCTTTTGTAGGTCATGCACCAGAAGTGCTCGCTGCAGATACGTCAGGGCCTGCATCCGCACTTGGCGCCGGGCATCACAGCACAAGCAGGCGATGCCTGAGAGTGAGAGCAGGGTCAGTTTCTTCCAGGTACTGACCTGTTGCTCCATGAGCTGCGATGTCACCTGTCCTACCTTGTGTCCTTCCCCAGGCTTACCTTGCAATAAAGGGCACCAGCAGTGGGCCCAGAGGGTGCGTGAGTCAGCTTCAATCTTTCGGCCACCTGACTCCAGGTGGCGCTGCTCCTCTGCCCATGAGCTGTAGATAGAGGCTGCCCGAGTGTGCAGGGTGTGCATCAGGTCCAGCAACTGGGATGAGACAAGAGGGTAGGATGTGAATAGGGTTGTTCTGTTGGTTCCTTTTCCCCCTCCCCAAGTGTCCCTGACTGAGTCTTCAAGGGACCCTCAGCACAAGCTATGCTGTACTCCGATCCTCTTACAAATTCCTTTGCTTCAGCCTGGGCTCCCTGCTCTAGTCCTGGCAGTGTTCCTCTGAGTAAGGAAGTCAAGAGTGACTCACAGTAGAGACTTTAGAAGACATGTGCACTGAGTCTATTACTACGAGAGTACAGTGAGAATGGCACTTCCTATTTTAATTTTTAAAATTTATTTATTTTCATGGGTGTTTTGTTTGTACACGTTTTGTCTGTGCCCATGGAGGAGGGAAGAGGGGGTCCTATGTGCACTGATCCGCTGGGACTGGAGGCATAATTGCTGCCATGTGGGTGGGGGAACCAAACCCAGATCCTCTTCTTAACTGCTGAGCCATCTCTCTGGCTCCAAGAAAGATACTTTCAATCCTATTTCACATCTGCTGATAGAGTGATTTTATTAATCTGATTATAATAAAAATAGTGTGTGTGTGTGTGTGTGTGTGTGTGTGTGTAGGACAACTGGGAGGAATTGGTTCTCTCCTCCCATCATGTGGGTTCTGGGATTGACTCGTCACCAGGCTTGGCGTCACCAGGCTTGGCAGCGAGCACCTTTATCCACTGGAGCCATCTCTTGAGTCATGTCGATTGCCTGTATTAATCTCATTTTAAAGCAAAGCAAACTTGATGGCTTAGTAGGTAAAGGTGCTAGCCATGCAAGCCTGGCAACCTGAGTTGAATCCTGGAACCTGTGCATAGGGAGAAAGAGAGAAACCAGCTCACAAAGTTGTCCTCTGACCTTCACACTCATGCTGTGGTGCAAATGTCTACATACTATGATAAACTTAAAAGAGAAAGTAAGCCTCAGGCTCAAAGGCTTCCATGGCCAACAGTGTCTGGCTAGATTTAACACATACTTGTTTTTTTTTTTTTTTTTTTTTTTTTTTTTTTTTTT